AAATAAAATACAAAATAGGGCTGGGGAGGTGGCTCAGTGGTCGAGGAGTGCCCCCGACTTCAATCCCTGGTACCCCAAAACAAAAATTAAAACAAAACGGATTTTTTTATAGAAGGCATCAAAACGGAATGTTAATGCTTTATAATTGTCTTATCTCACTGATCAAAATCTTCTACCGATAATCTATATTTTTTGACGAATCTATAACCTATAAGTTACACGCTGACTGATTTTATTGATTAGTTTACACCACAACAAGCGAAGGCTCATTTAGAATTCAAGAAAGAATACATTGGTGTCACTGCAGTGTGTAGGGTCCGTGAAGTTGGCAGCGACATCAGGCCTTCACCCGTATGCATTGCTTGCTCAGTGACACCCAGAGAAATCTCCCGTCTGAGAGCTCCACTCGTGCTGAGTGCCCTATGCTGTTCTATTCTGGTTTTCGTTCTCTCTTGCATCTTCGTAGTGTGTTTAGATGTGCTCAGACCCCAGAGGGCTCCTTGTGTTTCCGTTTCCTGCAGGATTCAGTGCAGGCACAGGGTCTGCACGCTGGTTAGTCTATTAAGGAGCCATAGCCTAGACCATGCCATCTAGAGGGATGTGTCCTAGACAAAGACCAAGAATCCAAGACCAAAGAAGAAATTGTTGAAATGATGGAGTTGACATCATGGTTACAAATAAGAAAATGACCCAAACCTAGGATTTTTATTTTTTTGGCAGCGGGTACCAGGGACTGAACTCAGGGGCCCTCGACCACTGAGCCATCTCCCCAGCCCTATTTTGTATTTTATTTAGAGACAGGGTCTCACTGAGTTGCTGAGCACCTCGCTTTTGCTGAGGCTGGCTTTGAACCCGCGATCCTCCTGCCTCAGCCTCCAGGCCCACTGGGAAGACAGGCATGCGTCCTAGAATTCTTTGCTGCCCATTGGGTGCCTCTCCTCTGCATTATCCTTCGCTCCCTTAACTGCGGTAGAAACAGCACGTGACATTGGGAAAAGTCACTTAGTGAGTCCCGGAGATGGTTTTGTGCACGCGGTTAAAGACCAGGAATTGGCCAACATTTAACTACGTTGCAAACCTCTTCCTCACTTTACCTGTCAAATCAGAGACAGAGGTAGTGGTGGGCAGTCACCCTAAATTGCAACGTCAGACATCATCGCCAATGATCACTTTTCACCAGAGTCTAACCTGCTTGGGACTCGTAGAGGCTCTGGGGGATCATTGCAGAGAAAGTTGCAAATAAAGATTTTTTTTCCAAATCCCAGATTTCCCCCCATATTACTGAAACATGAATGAGTCATTAATGAAACTGTCAACATTTTGAAGGGGCTATGAAAACCCCTGGTTTATGTCTGCTCACAGAACAGTTTCTCTCTCTCTCTCTCTCTCTCTCTCTCTCTCTCTCTCTCTCTCTCTCTCCCCCCCCCCTTTAGGTCTTTCAGAAGCAGACAAGAGTCATCTTCCTCCCCTTAGAGCTGGGATTTCAAAGAGGAGATGCTGAAGTACATATCTCTTAGCAACGGTGCCCAAACCCAGCGCTCTATGGCAACAGGTAGGCTCAGAAAAGATACGTTACTGGGCGAGCTGCTCTTTTTCTTGATATATAGGTTGCCATAAAAAATTTTAAAAAGATTTCTCTACTGGGACTAGTTTGGGAGACGGGCTTCTGGAGGCAGGAACATTAGAATAACCATGAATTAATTGTAAAGATCTTTTTTATGTTAGTCGCCGCACAACGGGATCACCCATAAGAAACTTCATAAAACATGGCTAGGAAGGAGTCACAGAGCTACAGAGGACTTAAAGATCTCCAGCTCTGACTCTTCACTGCCAAGGGAGGCTGAAAGTCCATGTGAATCCTCCAGCCAGTGTCTAGGGCCCACATGGCCAGACACTGACTTCCAGGGTCCTCTATCGCTCTGTGTGTAGGAGGGTCATATAATTCATTAATGGAGCACAGTGAATTTGAGAGGGGTGCTCTGTAATAATTATGCTGCTATCTGGGGTGTCCTGGGCAAATCAGGACACGGGGTCACTGTCCACACTCACAGAAGAAGTGGTAAACACAAATGCCAAGTGACTCCGGCTAGGAGGGGTCTTTGCCCATTAGGGACTGTTCATCTAAATGCCTCATCTAATCAACCGCTGAAGACAACTTTTCTCGAGCCTAAATTTAACATGTGATTGTCAACTCATCCTCTTTTTTTTTTAAAGAGAAGCTGAAAATCAATTGTGATATTGCACTCTCTTCCATTTCTCAACGTTGGCAAGCATTTAGCTTGAAAATTCAAAATACAACAAATGTGAGAGAAAACATGTGATCCTGTCTTCCTGAATCTGGTTTACTTCACTTAACGTGATGATCTTTAATTCCATCCATTTTTCTGCAAATGACATGATTTCTTGTATTTTTTTTTGTACCAGAAATTGAACCCAGGGGCATCTAACCACTGAGCTACATTCCCAGCCCCTTTTATATTTTATTTTGAAACAGTGTCTCACTACGTTGCTTAGAGTCTCACTAAGTTGCTGAGGCTGCTCTCAAACTTGCAATCCTCCTGCCTTAGCCTCCTGAGCCGCTGGGATGACAGGCAGCTATAACCACCATGCCTGGCTCATTCCATTCTTTTTTTATAGCTAAATAACACTCCGGTGTACATATACCACATTTTTTTTGCGCTCATGTATTGATGGGCACATAAGTTGAGTCAAAAGTTGACTATTATGAGTGTCCTGTGATACAGACGGTTGTAGGGTGTCCAGCCATCTGTATTGTACGCTGGCTATGATTCCTTCAGGTAAGCACCCAGGTGTGGGATAGCTGGATCATATCTGGTAGTGCTAGTTTTAGATTTTTGAGGAACCTCCATCTTCATTTCCACGATGACTATCATAGTTTACATTCCCACCAACGGTCACCAGTTTTTGACATCTATCTCACAGCGTTGTGGAGGGTAGCGCTACTCTCAAAGAATCAAGCTCTCTTAGGACGATGGACATCAATCCACTGTACATGCTCTGGCCCCAGAGAGGAAATAATTAGAAGATTTATGACCTGACCATGAATTCATCAGCGAATTGATCTATTCAAGAAGTCATGTCAGAACATGCCTACCCTATTCAATCTAGTTTTGCTGTTTGTAAAAACGCATGATTTCTTGGAAAAGCTCTTTGGGCTATTTGGAGTAGGTTGCCTGGTTTTCTCCATCAAACTCGTCTAGAGCTTCATCTCCGCCCCAGCTGGAAGTGGGTAAGAAAGAAACGTCAGCCTTTGATCCTGAAGGAAAATCTTCTCCTGAACTTGCCTCTCCTCCTGGTCCTTCTCGAAGGCTACCAAGCCAATGTCCTCTCCATGTCACCAGGCAGTAGTGGGTCACAGGACCTCATTTGCTGCAAGAGAGCATGGGTAAGGGGCGTGGGACAGCATTCATGGGCTTTGAGCATTTACGGCTGATTCATTCATTCAGTCAACATTCTTTTGTTCACCTACCAAATGCCAGGAGCATACGTCTCTGCCCCTTGTCACAACCTTATATTCTTGAGGGGATGGGGATGACACCATTTTTTATAATTAGCCTCATAATATGTTAGAAGTGCCCAAATGCTTTGAAGGAAAATATGGATCCGAGAATGAGGATGGCAACCAATGGATGGGCGAAAGGGTCACCACTGGATGTTGGGCATTTGATGGAAGACAGGGAAGGTACCAGGGAGGAAGTCGTGGATTGATGTGGAGGAAGGACACTCCAGGCAAAATGAAAGGCAGGTGCAAAGGCCCTGAGTTTATAGCAGCACAGTTCACAATAGCTAAACTGTGGAACCAACCTAGATGCCCTTCAGTAGATGAATGGATAAAAATAAAATGTGGCATATATACACAATGGAATATTACTCAGCAATGAAAGAGAATAAAATCATGGCACAATTTTCATATCTCTGGTTGTATACAAAGTATATTCACACCAATTCGTGTCTTCATACATGTACTTTGGATAATAATGTCCATCACATTCCACCATCATTTCTAACCCTATACTCTGTCCCATCCCCTCCCACCCCTCTGCCCTGTCTAGAATTCTTCTATTCCTCCCATGCTCCCCCTCCCTACCCCACTATGAATCAGCCTCCTTATATCAGAGAAAACATTCAGCATTTGTTTTTTTTTGGGATTAGCTAACTTCACTTAGCATTATCTTCTCTAACTCCATCCATTTACCTGCAAATGCCATGATTTGATTTTCTTTTATTGCTCAGTAATATTCCATTGTGTATATATGCCACATCTTTTATCCACTCATCTACTGAAGGGTATCTAGGTTGGCGCCACAGTTTAGCTATTGTGAATTGTGCTGCTATAAACATTGATGTGGCTGTGTCCCTGTATCGAGCTGTTTTTACGTCTTTGGGGTATAGAAGGAGGAGACGGACAGCTGGGTCAAATGGTGGCTCCATTCCCAATTCATTTTGACAATTTTATTTACCAACCCAGCCTTTTTCGGTTCTGCAAAAGCATCATTTAAAATGTCTGTTTCAGATGAATCCCTCCTCATCCATGAATTATATGTGAAACCCGCTGAACGGGTGGAAGAGAAAATCAGGGACAATCCCGTTCTCCCCATAACCCATGCACGTTCCGGTCTTCGTTTCTGTGTTTCTCAGTTGTTGAAGTTCATGGTGTATAAACAGGTTTCTGTTTGCTCCTTGCCCATCCTCTCCTGTCCTTTAAAATCGGGTGGAGACTGGACACTGAGCCTCGGTTTCCCCACGTGCACGTCGGGACAGGGCTGGACATGGCCCCGGGGCTGTGCAAGGAGGAGGGCAGCTGGTCCTGCAGCGCTGGGAGCAGCTTTCCCGCCCCGGACTGCAGGCCGGCTTTGGGGCCCTTCCCGCTGGCGCCGCTAGAGGGCGCTGTGGCCCCGGCGCGAGGCGGCGGCGGCGCGGAACCTCCCCCGGAGGCTCCGCCCCGTCCCGACCTGCTTTGCGGGTAAACAGACATGGCCGACGAGGAAGACGCACAGGACGCTGCGCACAACATGGGCAACCACCTGCCGCTCCTGCCTGGTAACTCCCGGGCCCGGGGCACAGCCGCGGGTGGGAGGCGACGCCCGCAGTCGCCGGCGGCTCGACGGGGCCGGGAAAGGCGGTGGCCGCGCCCCGGGGGCTGCGAGCCGTGGGCCTCGGCCGGCGCCCGCTCCCCGGCGCTTCCCTGAGGGCGCGGACGCCGCGGTTGCGGATGAGGCTGCAGCGGGCGCGGGGACGGGGACCGCGCGCGCCCGGGCCGTCCCCACGCCCCCAGCTCGGCTTCGCGGAAGGGCCCCGGAGTCGCGGGGCCGCCGGGGTCCGGGCGGGGCAGCTGTGGTGACTTCCCCCCCGGCGCCTGTCCCCGAATGAGTGACAGCCGAGGCGTGCTGCGCTCCTACCGGGCTTGGCTGCGTTTTTCTGCACTTGTCACCGTTCAGGTCCCTCTCTGTAGGAACCGAGGAGTTGAGTGACTCGCCCAAGGTCACCCAGCTGCAGCGTCGGGACCAGAACGTGGCTTGGCCTGCGAGCGCAGCTGGTGTCTCTTAGCCACCGGTTTGAGATCCGTGGGGCGGTGGGGTTCCCTTGCCTCGGGTCCTAACGGTGTGCTTTGTGGAAATTTAGACCTCGGGTTTGTGTGTTGGAGTATTGCACGACGACTTCAGAAAGAAAAAGAAAGAAAAAAAATGTGCATCGTTGCACAAACTATTCACAGACGGCTGCAGTCAAGATGGGCTTTGCCATAGTGGTATCAGCCTCCCGCAAACCCCTGAGTCCCTTCACTGTAACACAGGCAGGGTGTCAGGTGTTGTGGAGGTGCCAAATGAGGTCTGGTACTTGAGGAGCTTTGCGGTCTAGGTGAGCGTGCTGAGAATGATGATTGGCAGAGTCCGTTGATTTAAGGCCAGTTAAACGAATGCCATTGTGGTTCTTCACACAGGGGCGATGGCTCGGGGGTTAGAGGGATTGGTTAAAAGCCTTATGAGGTTCATCTGGAGGCTCACCTGCTGGGGCTAAGGATGCACAAGGTAAGACTTAGGAGGTCGGTTGGTTCTAAATTGTTGGTGAATTTGCATCTCTGGCCAAGGGCTTTTCTTGTAGGTTGCTGAGAAGCAGTCTCAAGTTTTTTTTTTTTAGGTAGTTGACTGAGGGAATCTGTGCTCAGTATTGATTGGTCTCTCTATATAGGAAGCCCTTTTTCTGTGAAACAAACCATGGTCGGTCAGTGGTCGTTCCTGAAGCCATCATAGCTCAAATAAAGGTGTGTCAACCTGCAGCAGCAGACCTGAGCTGTTTTCCCAGCATCATCAGCCCCCCCTGTGTATGTGCCAAATCCAGAGTTTCAGGGAGAATGGGGAATAAAAGAGGGAGGATATTGATGTTCTGTTGGCATTCACATGGTGCTCCTGCCTGAGATGAGTCATCAGACCTCACCCCGGTAGCTCTGAACAGCCAGCCTGTGTTTTCTATGGGGGGAAAAGGAAAAGTGAAAGGGTGCAGAGATGTATATATATATAGTAATGCTGGTTTCTAAATTACCTGCGGTTTTATTGACAAATACTACATTTCCCTAAATCTTGAGATACCAGTTGTTTTAAAGAGTAAGTCCACTTTGAATGCTAAGGAAATAGCTGAATAATTTCAGATGGGAAAAATCTATCTTGGAGAAAAGATCCATTGATAAACAGCCCAGTGGGGGAGGTGGGCCTTAGCCACTTTTATAAGAAAAGCTTCTATAATACTAGGTGGTCATTTAGATGCCAGAAGTCAGAAGACTTAAAATGCAAATTTAGAGAAGTATTTATTCCAGCCTTTGAGCCAGTAGTTCATGTTTTAAACTTTCAGTAGAGTAAGAAAGTTGGTCTCTCCACATTACAAGTGAAACCCATGCTTTCAGAGTTGCAGATACAGAGAATTGGGTTCAGAATATTTTTCTCATCAGTTTAAATTTTTCTTTGTTATCTCTCGGGAAAAACTTTTGTGTTTAGAAAAGATACAACCGGTATCAGAGCCCTGACTGTTTGCATACAAGTCAAATCAATTATGTTGTTGTCTTTGACAGAACTTTAAAGCCTTAAATCTTTTAATTCATGAGGATAAATGGGAACTCCCCCCACCCCCACAGTTACCCTATTGTGAAACGTCTTGTGAGAGGGACCTCAGTGGAAGTAGTTTGTTTAAAGAATGTTTTGCGCAGAGGGGAAAAAATGACTCCTTTGAAATGACAAATTAAGTATTTAGAATTTTCTTGGGGGCATTTTAAAATGCCTGAATTGTGAGGTCAGAAGGGTTCAGTCCATGTTTATACGTAGTCCAAGCTCACATTTCCTAGTCTCTGACACCTTTCAGGTCCAGCAATTCTTTGTGGTGTGCTCTGCTTGGTAGGATTCCCCAAGCACCTACTCTAGGTCACCAGTAGGACTCTTCTAGTTGTGACAACCCAAGACATCTTCAGATGTTTTCAAATATTCCCTAAGGTGCAAAATAAATCCTGGTCAGGACTCCTAGGATAGGAAATGTGCCCACAGGTGGCATGGAAAGGCTTGCGTCTGCCTTCCTATCATACCATACACATAGGGTAGTGTTGCTTTTTCTGACTTTCATCCCTGTCAATGGTAGCATCCACTTTTAAAGGATATTGGCTTAGTTTTCATAATTTAAAAAGTATGCCTGGAGGAAGCAGTCTGCGTCATTTCCTTTAAAATGTTTTATGCTGCTTGTGGTATTTTTTAAATTACAAAGCAAAATTTGTATGATGGTGACTGCAGATATCTGACTTTCTTGAGTGAGTGAGAGCCAGGGAAGGGAGTGTGTCAGTGGGACAACGCTGTGGAATTCTTGATGACATCTCTTTTCAGTTTTAGTTAATAGATCTTTATCTTTCTCATCTCCCCCCCCCCCCCACACGTAGGAACTCTTTAGAGTTAGGAGTTTGAAACAGTGTTCTCCAAGGTGGTCTTCTTGGAGCCTGTCCTTTTTCAGACGAGGAAGCTGAGACTTACTGAGGTAGGGTGCAGTGTATACAGTGTCAAAATGAATTACTGGCAAGGGAGAAAACTTCTCTACAGGACATGTTAAAATACTTTATGTTGGCATTTCCCAACAAGGCCCTGGACCATAGACTTCACCCCTAAAGGGTGGACGGAGTGATTTGCTTTCAGGGTACCTTGTGAAAGGAGGGGAAAGCGACTCTACAGTGGAGAGGGCTGACGGATTGTACTGCAGGTGATGACGAAGGCTAGCATGAGGGCTGTCAGTCAGGTGTGTGGTGTGCATCCCTGATGTGATGGAAAACAGTACTTCGTTTCCATCCTTCTCGTCCTCCCCACAGTGGGTAACCTTAGACTGATTACTAGAATTACATCATATGAGTCCTAATTGAGCAATAATGTACAGAATAAGCCAAGTCAAGTCTGAGAAACTACCCCCACCTCCCAAGAGCAGGCTGAAGAGGAGTCTTGACCATAGCAATGTGGTATTCTGGAGGGAAATCTGCAACTGAAAAAGGAGTTGAGGTTAAAACCAGGATATCCCAATAAAATGTAGAGTTTACTTAGTTGCACTAATGTACCAACATTGGTTTCCTAGTTGTGACGTACGTGTACTATAACATAAGATATTAACTGTAGAGGAAAATAGAAGTGGGGTTTATGGGAACATTTTCCACTATTTCTCTAACTCTTAAACTATTGTAAAATTTAAAAGTTGATTTAAGGGGCTGGGGTGGTGGCTCAGCGGTAGCGCACTCGCCTAGCATGCTTGAGGCACTGAGTTCGATTCTCAGCACCACATACAAATAAATAAAAATAAAAGTCCATCAACAACTAAAAAAATATTAAAAATAAATAAATAAAAGTTTATTTAAAAAGAAAACAGCAACAACAACAGAAGCTACCTGGTGACAGAGTGCGGTGTGGCCCCTGGGCCCCCGGCTGCCTCCTCACAGTTAGTGGTGGTTAGCGGTGTGTATGGCGTCTAGTACCCTTTTCTCCCCAGAGTGTGATGTATTTGAAAGGTATAGATTTGAAGTTTTCATGGGTCTAATTAGTTTTTTTCTTATCATATTGTAATTTATACAGCAGAGAGTGAAGAAGAAGATGAAATTGAAATGGAAGTTGAAGACCAGGACAGCAAAGAAGCAAAAAAACCAAACATCATAAATTTTGACACGAGTCTGCCAACCTCACACACGGTGTGTAGTGCAATAACTCCTCTGGCACTGTCGGTGCACATCCATCCCTAGGTCACATTCCTGAAGAGGTGGCCTGGCCTGGCACCTCACCCTGCCCAATGTGGACGGCTAGTTTACACGGCATAAATATGTAACCTTGACCTTTTTTTTTTTAATATTTTTTTTAGTTGTAGTTAGACTCAATACCTTTATTTTATTTATTTATGTTTATGTGGTGCTGAGATCAGCGCCTCTCACATGCTAGGCGAGTGCTCTACTACCGAGCCACAACCCCAGCCCCATGACTTTGACTTTTGTTAGCAGCTCCATCATATGGTGAGATTCTGTGAGGAGGCAGGCTACTTTCCAACAGTAAATAATAAATTCTTTATTTGTAAGCAGCTCCTACTGTTTACTGGTGTAATCCTTTAAGAGGTTGTTGCCCTTTTTCCAGTTTTGTTAGTAATAGAGCCTTTAAGGGCTTGTTCTGTGGTCTGCTAGGTCCCGTGGCATGAAGGTGTTATTTAACATAGTAACATTTATACTTGTCATTTGGGGTATTTGGACATAGAGATGTCCAAATTTATTTTTGATCCTGTGAAAAACAGCTCAAACTGCAAAATGTTGTGGAATATGTACGTATGACAGATTCTTGATAAAAGATTTGAAAGTTTTAACAGTAAATATAGATTAAAAATTAGGTTTTTATGTGAGACCATTAAGATCATCACATAAATAGTTATGTTTCCCCTCTGTTTATATCTCGTTTACTCTGACTTTTCTTTAGCCTGTTGAGCTTGTGTTTTGTGTGTGTGTGTGTGTGTGGGTGTGTGGTAACACTTGCCTTCTTGTCGTTGTGAGCAGTATCTGGGCGCTGACATGGAGGAGTTCCATGGCAGGACTTTGCATGACGACGACAGTTGTCAGGTGATCCCGGTGCTCCCACAGGTGATGATGATCCTGATTCCCGGGCAGACTTTACCTCTACAGCTGTTTCGCCCTCAAGAAGTCAGTATGGTGCGGAATTTAATTCAGAAAGATAGAACCTTTGCAGTTCTTGCATACAGGTAAAGTATTAGGGGAACTGGCCTCACTCGTGCCCTTTTGTGTACTTGCAGCTGAGGTCAGTGTTGAAGGCAAAGTAGAGAATTATTTTGCATGTCCAGAAGAAGTAAAGAATTTTGTTGAGTGAGATTTGAAGTATTAGAGTATATTGGTTATTTGCCATCTAAACCAATTTACATTTTTGATGCTTGAAAAACTTTTGCTCATTAATATTTACTGGAAAACATTTCTAGAATGTTAGTTTCAAGAATTGTCTTTATTTAAAGAGAAACAGGGCTTTTCCATTTCCGTGTACAGAATCAGTTTTCCAAAAGAACGTTTTTTTTTTGTTTTGTTTTGTTTTTTGTTTTCCTCTTTTACTCTCCCAAAACTTGTTAAGTTGCACCAGTACAGAGCAGTGGTCCACTGAGCTGAACTCTTGTTCCCTGTGGCAGATGGAGGAAATGTGCCCTAGAGGCTGGGAATAAATTCAGGAGCCCCGTCCCCCAACCCCTGCCCCTGCCCCAGTGCTGCTAACAAGCAGCAGAATACCTTCCTTGAAGGTCTAATAAAGTGAAAGAATGTTTGGCTGGGGAAATGAGAGTTCAGAGGTGTGTGAGTCCCTGACTGTTTCAGTGACTCTTTCTCCTAAATGTTCTAATTGTCTATCCCAAAGCTTTCCTATGCTCCTCCATATGACTCTTTAAATTGTTTTTTAGATGTAAGTGCACACAATATCTTGAATTTTATGCATTTATTTTTATGTGGTGCTGAGGATCACACCTAGTGCCTGGGTGGTAGGCAAGCACTCTACCACTGAGCTACAACCCCAGTACCCTCCGCCATGTGATTTTAAAATAAAGTTGTACTGGGTTTGCAAGTGAGAGTCAATGACTATAAATCATTTTCCCAAATGAATTACTTCTGCTAATTTTGCATGTATAAATGCCAAATGTTAAAAATCTTCTTTAAAACTTTTCCTTGGAAGTAATATACAGGAAAGGGAAGCACAGTTTGGAACGACAGCAGAGATATATGCCTATCGAGAAGAACAAGACTTTGGAATTGAAATAGTGAAAGTGAAAGCAATTGGAAGACAAAGGTTCAAAGTCCTGGAACTCAGAACACAGTCAGATGGGTAAGAAATACCATGTCTTAAAGCTTTGTGAACATTTTACAATGGAGTGTTTTGTTGTTTTTTTTTTCTGTTTTACTAAATCTTCACATTTTGTGCCTTTTTATTAGTGTTTCTCTCTCCCTTCTGAAGTATATCTCAGTTGTTTCCCACTTGGGGTCCACCACAATCACCCAGAAAATTCTTAAAACTGAAGATGCTTGGTTCCAACCTCATCTTCCATCCTCAGAGAGTTGTTCAGGATGAAGTGAGACTTCAGCACCTTTTAAGAATGATTTCCGGGTGATTCTCATACTCCTCCAGGTTTGAGAAGAGCATTGTCAACCCAAAGGAAAGTGGCATTTGGGGTGTGGCTTCTTGGGAATAGAAGGTCTCTCTTTGGAGCGAGAGACGGTGTCTTGGTGTGCTCACCAGGACAGGGGAGGTGGTGTCAAAGCTCCCGTTAGGTTTGAAAGTCATACACGTCATACCTGCTCCACCCAGCGGCTCTCCCCATCCACACGTAGCACCCATGGGATTTATCACCCGGAAACAATACCCACATGATAACTGACCACTAGTCCTTATCTTCACTGCACCTTGTGGACTTTAGTAATCCCCGAGTTTATACCATTCATCAGAGACTCATTTTGGAGTGGCTGCCTAGGTAAGAGTTTGTCACAAAATCTAGGAATTCCACATTTAAGGAAAAAAAGATCCAGTTCACCATCATTATCCTCTTTTTAAGAAATAGTGAACCATTTAAAACAACACAGTAGTCTTGACATTGGCTGTTGTGTGTTGAGCAGTGCTTCTGTCCTGTGGCACGTAGGAGTCATCTGGGAAGTTTAGTACACACAGATTCCTCAGTTCCACCCTGTCCTGGGGAATCCATCTGTGATGGTGGCCAGAGTCGAAAATCCATCAGATCTTTGTGTTGCACGTGTCTTCTTCTGAATGCAAGAAGGTGTTATGGTTTTGTCTGTTCGCTCAAGATTATGCCACTGCAGGCAGGCTTTTGGGACTCGAATGTGGGATGGAGTGGTCAGAGTCCTGAGGGGTTTGGTTCTCTCCTGAAGTTCCCTCAACGTTCCTGGTACACGTGTGTGCTCACCTCGTCCCACCCTCACAGGATTGCGTGTGTGCCTCCCCGGGTAGATGAGCTGAATGAGAACGGTGACCGAGGCTTAGTTATGTTGTATTGGGGATCAGAAATGTGACGTGAAGGAGTGATCTCCCCAGGGCTTTGCACTGTGATAACCAGTCATCTTGTTGCTGTAGATTTTGCTAACAGTGCCAGTTTTGAAGTACTTATTAGCCACACACTTACCTAATTGGTTCTTTTTTTTTAATCTTTGAATACTATTTTCCAGAAAGTTTCAGGGAAATTGAGTTGGGAGAAAGTGCATTTCTCAGCATATTGACTTCTATATCTGGTTGTGGAAAAGTCTTTTGAACACAAGATGGCAGCAGTCTGCTGAGCCTGAGAAGGGGCGGAGGAATGTGATTTGGTTCTGGTAAGGGTCACTGCCCTCAGAGTGGTAGAGCTGGAAAAGGTTTGGAAAGGGTGCCTCCACGCCAGTATCCCACAGACCTGTGTCAGGCCCTCTCACACAGATGTGTCTGCCAAGGTGTAACAGGCGTGTATGGAGTGAGGTTTCTGTGGCTTTGCCACTGTGCTTTCCTGAGACCACCTTCACTAAAAACGGTGAAGTGCTTGCATTGGAGATGATGTAGTGCTGTTTCCTTTTTTTCAAACTAGGGAGCCAAGTGTTAAAGAATGTGCCTAAAGCCTTACAAGTAGTGTGTGTCAGCTGGCTGGTTCTAGGTGCCCAACTTCCACACCAGTGCCTTTTCTGTGACACCAGAATTTCTCCATAGCACATTGGAAACTCGGGCCAGTTTTCTTTTTTACAGGGAAGTATATCTGATTGATTTGTTTTTTAACCTAAGTGATGCTTCATATATAAAAATATGCTACTGCTTTCTAACTGTCGCTAAATTCAGTGTTTATTTGGTTGGCCTTTTCTGAATATATGGACCTTTGTCTTTAATCAATAAACAAACAAACAGAAGGGTATCACAAATCAGAACTTCCTGTTTCTTGGAATGGGATTAATATTGTGTTGAAATTGCAAGAGAATACGTCCTCCCTATCATAATTGAGAGCAGTGATTCTTAGTGGAAAAAGTCACCTACTATAAATGTTTTCATTGAAAATGTAGGAAGGTAGTCATTTGGGTTTTGATGGAGAGATGGTTTTCTCTTTGAAGTGGGTTTGTCAACTAGAGATAGCTTCAAACATTTTTGTGGTTTGTGTGTATAGCGTATACTTCTGTTTTTTATAGTTTATATTTCTGTTTTTTAAGAGGGATTCTAAGGGTGGTCAGTCACGAGGTCATTTGAGCACAGAAAATGTTCAGGTTAGTGTGGTGTTTCCCTACTATTAGAGTTGTCTTTACTGAATGTGGAAGAAATTTTTTTTTTATGTTTTAGTATTCATGGAGGTGATTTTATTTTTGTTCACACATTTTGTTTTTATAACATTTATATAAATTATGTTGCCATACCACAGAACAACTGCCATCGACAGGTTGGGAAGAAACACAACTACCTTATGCTAAAAATGCAACTCAGCTGGCAGGAGAACCAGCCTGTGTGTAGAGCAGCCTCCAGGCTGCAGAACAAGGAGGGTCTGGGCAGCGCTGAGTCTCCCAGTGCAGACCAGGGGTTCCGAGGTGATCGGAGCTACTTCCACAGCCTGAACGCTTTTATCAGAATGAAAGCATGAAGTCTTTCATAATATTTGCATGAAGTACCTCAATTCGGGTACTTTTGACCTTAAGAAGCAGATTCTGATGAGCATCTGTAGGATGGTGTACAGTTTACACCATGGCGCATCATCCCAGCAACTCAGGAGGCTGAGACAGGAGGTAGCAAGTTTCAGGCCAGCCTTTGTATGTTAGGGACACCCTGTCTCAAAAATCAAAAGGCCTGGGCGTGGTGGCACACATCTGTAATCCCAGCAGCTCTGGAGGATGAGGAAGGAGAATTGTGAGTTCAAAGCCAGCCTCAGCAAAAGTGAGGTGCTAAGCAACTCAGAAGACCCTGTCTCTAAGTGAAATATGAAAAGGGCTGGGGATGTGGCTCCGTGGTAAGGCTCCCTGTGTCCAGTCCCCACACAGCACATTCATACACACACACACACACACACACGATATAGACACACTGAAGTTGAGATGTTGCTTGTGTCCCTCCCCTCCTCCCAGCACTGGTACTGGGGATCCAACCCACTGACTGGGATCAGTTGAACCTTAGTTCTGGAATTAAAAATGGTCACTTTTAACATTTTCCAAAGTTTTTAACAGATTAAAGTTGTATTTTAATGAGCATACTAACTAAGTAGGACATGAAGTTAGTACAATGAGTATATTTTTAAATTAAACCTGTATATTTTGAGATAACTTAGCTATTTACATATAATAAATGAGTAGAAGTATCAGAATTTTATTCTCAGCGTTTTGTGGGTGAAGGCAGTGGATGTTATGAACGCCATAGTTCATATGAGAGTCTTAAAAGCAGGGGCTTCCAGTGTGTTTGATTTCATCATTCCAAAGTGTTTTCTTCCAGCCTTTGCATGTCTGTCGTAGCATAGACCTGATTTCTAAAGCTGCCTCCCAGGAGGGTCGATCACAGGGACAGCCTCTCCGTTTGCATTAATGGGTGACAGGTGTTTGAAAGTCTGATGCTCTGGAGTAGCATTTAGAAAATGAAGGCTCTATCAAGAAAGCCTCGGTGATTCTTCAGTTTAAAGGCAGTCGAGTGCATGTTCCCCTAAGGTCATGAGGAGGAGAAGAGGGCTGCACATGGACGTAGAGGCCATGTAGTTCTCTAGTCTCATCTGAAGCGTCCCTGTAAATGGGCTTGTGATTTTCTCTTTCTGAACCTGCCTCTCAGGATGACACATGAGAAAGGCCCCACTTAGGCGGCACGGGTTGTGGGGGACATGGGAGGGTTGGGATGTCTAAACTGTCTTAAGAAGTTTGGTTACAAGTATCAAGATGAGCAGTCGTGGTAGGAGTAGGCTGATGTCAAATATAACTCTATTTATGTGACTCATGAAGACATTCCTTTCTATTCCATGGTGAGATTGAAAATTCATACTTTAGATTATCTGTAGCATGAACTGTTCTATGATTTATGAAATGAAGTTATTTTCTGAGAATGTCTTATATCTTAACAACAGCATTTATTTAGTGAATATGTTTTAAAAACATTTAGAAAATGTTAGTATTTAAAATTTCCTTGATGTTTAGAAACTTACAGTTTGAGTTAGTGTATCTTGAAAATGAACACCGTGCTTGGTTCTCTTTATTTTAGAATCCAGCAAGCTAAAGTGCAAATTCTTCCTGAATGTGTGTTGCCTTCAACCATGTCTGCAGTTCAGTTAGAATCCCTCAATAAGTGCCAGATATTTCCTTCAAAACCTGTCTCATGGGAAGACCAGTATTCATGTAAATGGTGGCAGAAATACCAGAAGGTGAGATACTGCTTTTTTTTATGCATCTTCAACCAATTAAGACAGGTTGCTTTTTTCTCCATTGAAAGAATGAATCACTGAAGACTCGGACGGTTCCCCAGACACCTTCTGTGGCTGTGGTCTACCTGTAGTTGATCGTAGCTGGCACTTTTAAAGATCTCACAGGTGGCTGTAGTGAAAGAATAGTCTGGCGAAGCAGCAAGTTGTCACAGGGTAGGTGAGGTATGCGTGACTGCTCGTCATTCGTGTAGAAACGAGCAGATAGAATCTCTACTTACACTTCAGGTCACATGTCTGGCTCTTCAATGGTAAGGACGTGTACCTAAGGAAGGGAGAGGGCTCCTCTGGGGTAGCACAGAGTCGTGGTAGAGCACACTGTTTTGGGACACCCTGTGGGCCTCACGGGGTTCTCAGTCACCCGCTCTCCAGATATTGTGGCTGGGGCGTTAGCTCTTCTGTGCATTTTTGGTGGATCATTCTTGCTCTTAGGAAGTGAGGTAGATAGCTTTAAGTGTAGAGTAGTCACTGTCGAAGCTCTGCCTCAAGGATGAGTTTACTAGTTTCTGAATGCAGAGGTCCGCATTCTGCGTGGTACGCGATGACTTTCAGTGTTCTTTTGGTAGAACTCCTCCAGTTTTCCCAGAGTGTTGGATGTAGACGGGGCTTGTCCCTGCCTGGCTGGCTTAGATGAGCCAGGAGGGCTCATTATTCTGTATGTTCAGTCGGTTGGTCACACATGCTATGAGGTGTTTTAATGAGATTTTACAAGGAGATTTTAATAAAAAGGTCTAATTAGACTCCTGAAAGATTATCAAACAACCACAAAAAGAGACTTTTGAAGGTTTAACAACATCAGTGTGTTGTGGGTTTTGTGTAGCTGCGTGGTGCTTCCTTATCCAGATCTGATATGGGTTCTGGAAGTGGACTCTGACCTTGTTTCTGTGGACAGTGGAGCCACGGGAAACCGTGCTCACAGCAGCTTTACCTGCAGCCCTAAGTGTTGACAGAGACGTGTGGGAGGCAGCTCTGCAGCGTGTGGGCTCTGAGGCGTGGCTTTGGAATGAGTCCCCTGAAGGGTCTTGGTGTGCTTGGTGCCAGTTTCCTAATGAAGTCATCCTGTGGTGGCAGAGTAGTGGCATTGAGATGCTGCCTGCTTGTCACTTCAGTGTTTGCAAAGCTGTTTACTGCGATCAGTGGGTATTTTCTCAGTGTATAGGTATGGGTTTTTAAAAGCTCTTAACCATTTAAAAGCCATAAATTCTCTTTTGTTTTGTTCCAGTCATAAGGTGAAAGCAATTAGAGTCAACACTTGGAAGGTGTGTACAACGAATTTTTCATGTTGCCTGCAGGATCTTTTGATCCTAAACCTGAATTTCAGTTAAGCTAATGTGATAGCGTTTTAAAGTTTAATTTGGGGCTAATTACTGATTAAAATCTTCCCATTCTGTGGTGGAAGCACCTCAGCACCTTCACAGTGAAATCAGAATTTGCCCTCTGCAGCTGGATCCTCACGGCTGAAGGAGTGCAAGGAAAGCCAGGAAGCACATCCTGGTTTGGGAGAAGATGAGCTGACTCCCTGTCACGTCCCGCCTTCCGTCAGTCAGTCTGGATTCTCAGGTGTCAGCCCTGGCTGGCTTTTGTGTGGCATTGCCGGGGGCTAAACAGGGGGCGTGGGAGTTTTAGGAGGGTATTCATCCTGTGTGGCTTTTGGATTTTTGAAGGGCTTCCCTTGTTAAACTGAGAATGTCTCAGATTCTGAAATTTGGGATCTGGATGACAGGGTGAAGAGTTGGCTGCTGTCTTTTGGACACCGGGACCTACAGAGCAGTTTACTTGAGAGAGACCTCTCAGAGCCATTCCAGGTGCATCAGAGAGGCACAGGAAAAGGGGGTGCAGGTACCATAGTGGGACCGGATGTGCTTTGCTTGCTGCACTTTTAGCTGGGCACTAGCTTACCAGGGACCAGATTATGTGATTGAGCTATCTTAGGACAGATCTAGACCTCTCTCTTGCCCCAAGTTGATGTCAAGATCCCAATGTGACGTTGAGCAGTGCACTGGAGAGTCTTCAGGGGACACTTAAGGTACTCAGGATCTCAGGAGGCTTACACGATGCTAACCTGACCAGGTCGCTTCATTCATTTAGGCAGACAAGATGGGGCAGGACCAGGGCTGTGGTCTTCCTGAGACCTGTCCAGTTGAGCTCAGGATGTCTGCACTTCCCATTAACATTTGCCATTGAAAACTGAGTATCGCAAATGATGGGAAGGATAATCACTGAACCTTCTCCAAGTATTCTGTGTCCTCTTCCTTTCCAACAAGGGAGCGTTTACAGGAAGAGCCCACGTGTGGATCTAAAGATGTGGAGTCGGTCTCCCACCTGCTTCTGCCTAGAGGCCTTCATCCTGCAGTGGGAGCTGGAAACTCTTCCTCTTCCCCGGGCAGTGCTTTCTTCACTCACTAGGTGTACTGCAGGGAAAATCCACATTTAAATGAGGACTCTTGAACCCACTTGGAACACCACCTAACTGTTTTTAAGTGTACTCTCTGCTCGCCTGGACCATCTGCTTGTTCGCTTAGAAAGGCTTGACACACCAACTGCAAAAGAGCTGAGCGTGAAACGTACAGAGAGCTCAGCTGTGGAAACAGTGGGTATTGAGGAGTGAGTGAGGCTGGATGTGTAGGCCGTGTTGCTCCTGTGCGTCGTGGGGAGCAGGAGAAAACGGGCATTGATTCAGAATAGTGCTTGCAGATGTGAGGTCAGATTTTCAGTTTCCTAGAGTGGAGGAAGATGGATACAGGTATTCCTCTGCCCCCTATTTTGTGTGAAAGAGTGTACCGCTCTGAAGCCTCTTGCTACTTAGGATATCTTATAGGAGATGCTTTCATATCAGTCTGTAGAGCACCACAGTTTTCTCTTTAAGGCTGCCCAGGAGGCTGTTGTATGGCAACACTGTAACTTAGGTAACCCCTCCCCTGTTGATGACATCTGCAGGTGGTTACTTGTACACATGTCCTTTTATAGATGCAAATGTCTGGTCAGTGTTGAGGAGTGGAATTAGCAGGTTGAGGGTAGTTGTATTTGTAGTGTTGACAGTTTCCGTGTACCTTACTAAGGAGAGTGGTACCTATTGTGGTCTCATTATTGTTTTTACTACAGAGTCACAGAGGGTATCAGACCTGATATGTGCTGATCTGGTAAGTGAAGCATACTCTCCTGTTGGAGATGTAAGGTGGATGAGTATCAGGATTAGCATTTTGTTTCAGAAAAGCTTGTATTTGCATTTCTAAGTTTATTATCTTCACACATCTTTCTAGTGATTGGTTGACATCTGTAAGTTTTTATAATCTTCATAATCCCTATAATTAATGAGTTCCAGACATTTTCTTGTTTGCCATTTGTCTTGACTTTGTTTTGGGTGTGTTCTGTTATTTATTGGTGGAGTAGAATGTTCAGAGTGCCTGTTATGAATCCAAACTAAAAACGACCCTTCCGTGCAGAGGGATGCCCTGTGTTCTCCTTGCTGAGCACTGATTCTGTGTGGTTCCTCCTGGTGGGAACTGTGTTTTCCCGTGTAGCTCACTCTATCCCATTACAGTCATCTGAAAGGCTGTTATCTCTCCCACTGATAGATGTCATTCCCTGTTGGTCTGTCGGCATGTGACCGCTGTGTCTTCACGTCTGCTGACATGTGATGGTGCATGCGGCACTGCTCTTCATCACGCATTTTGTGCCGTGTCAGGTGAGGGGCTTCCTCAGACAGACTAGCCGCTCACTCCGCGGGCACCTTACCTGCGTGCACATGCATCTCTGCACCTGCCATCGTCATAAGTCTCGGGTAATAAGCGTCCAGTTTCATTTCCAAGTAGGAATTTAGTAAATGAAAGAAGAAAAGAGAAAAGCTGGTAGTTTTTTATTTGGATAAATTATATTTAGTATGTTGCTGATGGTGATAGCTCCTGAAAAAAATAAATGAGCACCTTTGGTCGTTCACGTGCTGTGGTCAGGATTTTCTGTGTGGACGTTTGTTTTGTCCTTTTGTTGTCATTGCACCCTGAAGACCCAGTGGGTTGGAGTTTCAGTTTTTGAACAGTCTGTATGGTTGGGAGGGAAAGCTGAAGCCATAGCCGTGAGGCTTACAAGTGGAAGTGTTGTGGAGGGTCTCCAGGTGATAACTTCCTTGTGCTTGCTCTCGGTGGTGAGGCCCACCGCCAGGGGAAGGTTACTTCACCGGAGAATCCGTTAGGGTCACTTTTAAGTGTCTAAAATTTTGGATTAGTACTAACATTTTCTTGAACTCTTTTGCAAAATATATCATGGAGGTGGTTTTCTTGAAGAAGGGCTATGAAGTGTCACTCAGATGTAAGATGGGAGCGCCTCTTCTTGGGGCCAGATATGTGGGTAGGTCTCAGAAGTTTAAGACCATCAAGGTCACCTACCTGAGTTTTGGCCATTGCTGTATGAATGGTAGCTGATCCTTTCTGGTATCATTCTCTTCTGTTTGCATATTTAGTTATTAAGTTATGTGAGGCATATTTAGTTGATTTAGAGCTTTTAGAATCTGTTGGTAAAATCAAGATACAGAACTTTAGAGGACTTTCTTACTGTAAAAAGAAGGAAGTTAGACATTGGATTTTATGTAGCTTACTTGTGGCTGGCTGTAGTCAGTGGTAAAGAGCGACGTATCTTAGATGCATAAGTGTGATGCCTGGTGCTCGTCTTAGGTTTAACTTGTGTCCCGTGAGTGACAGGTACGTGTGCTATGTGCAAATCCTGGCTACTCCCCATGTACTAGCTGAGCGACCTTGGATAAGGTGCTGCGTCCTTTGGTGCTTCTTTCCTTGACAACGGAGATGATGCTCCCTGTAGCCACGTGGTGTTCTTAGGGCCCAGGAGATTCTGGCCACAGTGTTGACGGTTGCCATCACTACTGTAGAGTATTTGGTCCCTTGCCATTGTTGGTGGTCCTCTTGTTTTTCTCTTTTCATTGAGTGGTTCCAGTAATTCAAGTCCAGGAGAGCTTAGAGGAGAGGCCTCCTGTTTTAGATCCTCAGGTTTAAGCCCCTGCCTAAGTGAGTGAGGAGGTCTTGGGTCCATCTCTGGGCAGCAGGATGACTAAACCAAGCAGGCCTTTCCTTCACTGAAGACTTTGGCTTTGGTAGTAGCACATGGCATTTCACAGTGACCCTCTGCCATAACACGGCTGTAAGATACCTGACAGGGAGCATCCTGTTCCTTGAGGATCATCTCCCAGGTGAACACTGTCCTTAGGGCCATCTCAAGTGTCGTGGAACAGAGCAGCGTTTTTGTGTCTCAGAGTGTGGGTTTGCAGCACAGCTGGGGTAAGGTGGTTGGGTGGACACAGGTAGGGAGTCGCCCAGCCTGCATGTGGTGGTGTGGCACAGGGTGTTGAGGTCAACACTCCCGGTGCTTTTAATGTCCCCGAGCAGCACCTCCCCCGTCGCGCTGACTCACTTGGTCTGATGGATGCAGGACCAGGATCTGTGTTTGGTGACCTGTTCCCTTATTTTTGGTTCTCTGGGGTGTCCTCTGTGTCTCTTTCCCCGTTTCTTGGGGCTGCTGTGTGTTGAGGTGTTTGTCGTGGTGAACGTACATGTTATACAGAGACAGATGTGAGCCCCTTTCATGCTCCATGGGCTCCCTGTGCTTTCTTGTTTTGTTTGTTTGTTTTAATATTTATCTTCTAGTCGTAGCTGGACACAATTCCGCCATTTATTTATTTCTAGTGGTGCTGAGCATGGAACCAGGGCCTCACTGCCCGTGGAGGCTGGCCCAGCCCTGGTTGCTTTCCTGGCAGTGCCCGCCGTCCTCTCTCCTGGGAGGCCTCCCTGTGTTTTCTTGAAGTCACATTATGGGTTGTGTTGTCAGTGACAGGGCTGCTGCGGGACGTCCTTTTGGTAGCCATACTTTGGTGTCCTGTGGAACATGTAGTTTTCTTTCCGAATCCTGTGGTTGGTCTGATGTTTGAGGTCTAAGTCTCAGTCACTGGGGTTCCGCTGGATTCATCCCTGGGGGCTGGCGTGCATTGCAGAGGAGGGAGGTTCTGGAGCAGCTGGAACAGGTGTCCTTCCCTGTGGGTCCTGTGTGCCCGCAGGGATTGCAGGCAGCCGGCTGCAGCGGTGCACGGGGTGTCCCCACTCGGTGTGCTGGAGGGGGACTTGCCGTCTTGCAGCGTAGCTCTTGTGGCCCAGAGTGGGCGGCTCGGCAGAGGCCCCAGGAGTGTCTACACAGACAGCGGGAATTGCGTGTTGAGCGGTTCCTGGTCGGGTCCTGCAAGGGTGGGGGGGGGCAGCTGGTGGTGATGCAGGCCGTGCCTCCTGGCCCTTAGAGGCCCTCTTATCCCTTGGTCCACCCCAGTGTTAAAACGGGCAGGCTGCTGCCACACCTTGACTTTGCGCTCAGCGATGGCCAGGGCTTGACACGGTCCCTGGGGTTGGGACCTCCCAACCCGAGGGACCAGAGGAGCGGAAGCTGGCTGTGGCCCAGCACCCCGCGTGCGTCCCCATAGCCACAGTGCTGGTGGCGCTAACGCTGCGGACCTCAGCTGGGGGTCTGCTAGGCTTGACGGAATGTTTAGGGAAAAATGTGTCTATAGGATGGCTCGAAGGTTAAGGGTGTGGAGAAAATGCCCTGTGTACCTACCCAGTGTGTCGCAAGCTCAGTGTCACCAGAAAAGTCAAAGGTCTTCAAGGTTCCCGGGTGGGTCCAGTGGAAAGGAGCAGCCGAACCGGCCTGGCCCTCGTGGCCCCACCCCCTGTCCCACTGTAGGCCTCCTCAGTGCACACGCTGTGTACCACTAGTGCCGTTGTGGGAGAGTCGCCCGGTGTGCAGCGAGGTGACACGCACACGTGCCTGTGGCCAGGAGCAAAAGCGCTGAGCACCTCCCCGAGGTGCGCACAGCGAGGACACAGCACCAGGGAGGCTTTTACCGGGAATTCTCCTGGTCAGAAAGAGGGACAGGGGTTTCTGCGGTAGGAATGAGGGTCCTGGCTGTGGTCAGACCTGGAGGACATGAAGGTATGAGGTCAGGCCAGAACATCATCTGACACGATTGTCACGAAAATCTTTTCAACATCAGACAATATTTTAAGCCAAAATTCTTTGTAAGTTAATTTTTCATTATAGGAGTCTTTATTTTTTAGGGGTTTTATTAAGTGACTTTTTTCTGTTTTCAGAGAAAGTTTCATTGTGCAAATCTGACTTCGTGGCCCCGCTGGCTGTATTCTCTGTATGATGCTGTAAGTAACTCCTGTGAAACTGGCCTCTGTGGCAAGCAGTGTCACTAGTGTCATTAAAGCAAAATAAGAATGCTTGTGCTATTTTCAGAACTAAAGTACATAGGACATCTGGAGTCAAACCCAGGGAGTCTGAGGTATCGATGGGTAGTCTCTCCCACTAATGGAAGTTTTAGCTTCTGGTGACTTGTGACTGAAGGGCACAAGTTTAATAATTTAGGGTTTATTAAACAATCTGGGGTTCTCTCGGGTTGGGCGGCATTCCCATGTAGAAAACTGCAGTGTTTTATTACCATGTTTTGGTCTTTCTCTAAGTGAGCGTGTTACCCTCCCCTCCCGACCACTAGCCTGCTGCTTGACGTGCGCATGGGGCCTGGCACTCCCTGAGGTCTCATGCTGGGCATCGCCACGTTTTATAAAACTCCGGAAGAGGCACATGGGTGGACAGTGTGCAGAATCTTGGATGGTTTTAAAGCCCAGTTTCTATCGCTTACCCAGGGATTTGGGGCCAAGTATTTTTCTGAACTGTAATGTTTTGTTAGTAACAGGTTTTAGAGGATGAACACATCCCAGTCATTCCTCTTAACAAACAGGTTTGACCACAAGCCTCAAGTCTTGGGAGAAGGGTTTATGACACCACTAGAGCAAGTCGCAGTTTTCCTTCTGCTGCTTTGGTGCCATTGTGGATGGGGTGTGGGGGAGGAGTACGAGGGTGTTTTTGGTGCATGCAGTAAGCTCTCTTGTGTCAGTTAGGGGCCACAGAACTCTGTAGTGAGCTGGAAATGGCTTCACAAGAAGGGGCAGCACACATGCACCCCCAGGTACATGAAAGTGTACAAAACGATGGTGCTGAGGGTCTGAGGTCTCTCCACAGTACTGAATGCAGTGCTACCACTGGTAGCACTGCAAAGAGTTGAAAAGATGACAGTACATGTTAGTAAGCCTGTGAACTTCATTATGACAACTTTATTTTAAACCAGGAAACCTTGATGGATAGAATTAAGAAACAGCTACATGAGTGGGATGAAAATCTAAAAGATGATTCTCTTCCTTCAAATCCAATAGGTATGGAAAGTTAATTTCTTTTCATGGTCTGTGATGTGTTGCTGAAAGAAGGTCAAGCCTTCTGCCCTGAAAGAATCAATGTTTTGTTTTTGTAACCAATTTAAGTCCAAAAAGCATACACATTTTCTTTGCTTGGAGTAACTGGAAAAACATTTTTAAAGTAATTGTAACACAATTCTCTCATTCTGTGAAACCATTACTGTAGGCAAAATTTTGCATAGAAAATCCATAGTGTAGTTAAGCAGTTCTCCTGAGAACACGTCCCTGGCATAGAACAACCCCTGTCCCACGACATGCCATTTGTAACATACAGTGATCTGTTTATCGGGTACTTTCTAGACATTACATAGTAGATGCTGTATTTTAGAATTGTTTGTAATTATGTTAACCTGTCCTGGGGAATCCTGTTAGGGAAAGGGTCATTTCAAAGGACATCATCTGATTCATCAGTTTAAATCCTTTCATGTCTTGCAGATTTTTCTTACAGAGTGGCCGCGTGTCTTCCTATTGATGATGTATTAAGAATTCAGCTCCTTAAAATCGGCAGTGCCGTCCAGCGGCTTCGCTGTGAATTGGACATCATGAACAAAGTGAGTCCAGTGAACTGAGACTCCCCTGAACCAGTATGCGCAGGTGGGGGACCAGGAGGGAGGCTGTGCTGTAGAGGGACACTGCCTCTTGGCAAAGCCAACAGCCTGTTAGGGATTCCAAAGTGCTGTGGGAGGCCTTGTATCTTCAGGTCACTAAGTGAGGCATTTCAGAGGTGGGAGGGTGCTTTCATAGAGGGCAGGTATATATGAATGCCTTGTACAACCTGGTGAAATCAAGGGAACATTTGTGGCAATGTGTTACCTTTTTTGTCCTGCCAGCTTTGTTAATGAGGTAATTGCATTAGAATGAATGCAAAATTGTTCCGCTGAGTATTTTTTCTGTACTTTCCAGTGTACTTCCCTTTGCTGTAAACAATGTCAGGAAACAGAGATCACAACCAAAAATGAAATATTCAGGTATGATCTTTATTGCATGCATTCACAACTGTCTCCCCATCACTGTTCCAGAATTACCCTCCATAAATAAAGCAGTTTTAATGAAAGTTTAGCAGCAGCATGGTAAAGTCAAACAGTTGCAATTGTTACCCTCCTCTTTTTGAAAATGTACCCATTAAAAGGTGTTTGGAGGGTACCTGTGTGTGTCAGAGGATGACGTGAGTGATACAGGGGTATTCAGGGACGAATCAGGTGTTAGAAGATTGTCCTGTGGGCCCAAGGTACACTGTGAAAATGGGGCTTTGCTATAAGTGTTTGAGGGTAATTCTGATAAATCAGCTGCCTGAGGGTGAGCAAATACACTGTCAACAGAATTTGAAGTACTTGTTGTCTTTGGGTCATCACTGGGATGTACGCAGCCCTGTTTTTTCACAGGAAGTGTTTCTTTTCTTCTCTGCCTTTTAGTTTATCCTTATGTGGGCCCATGGCAGCATATGTGAATCCTCATGGATATGTGCATGAGACACTGACCGTGTATAAAGCTTCCAACTTGAACCTGATAGGCCGGCCTTCAACAGAGCACAGCTGGTTTCCTGGGTAATGTAGCTGCTCCTTTTGCTTGCCTCAAAATGGGCAAAAAACTGTAGGGTTCTAAGCAAGGTGGTAGAGTTTTCATTGAAAATAGGTGTGACGGTAATTGTATTGAAATATGGGACTTTACTCCTGGGGAGAAAATGAAGGACAAGAAAGGTAACACATTGCCACAAATGTTCCCTTGGTTTCAAGTGCAGAATACCTGCCCTCTATGAAGGAGGTTAGTAGTAGTTCTTGGGACTATTCCATCACCTGTCCAGCACACTTGTTTTCTAAGTTGACTGCAGTACAAAGAGCGTTTTGTGGTATTGATTTTTGTTTCTAATAGAAGAAAACATACGGTATGAACATGGAGTCAGGTCCCACATTACATCAGCCAGCCAGGTGAAGTGTCTATGGAGCTGACTTGAGGGCCACCTTGGTGTTTGTGCATGACTCTTGCAGTGTTGCTCTAAAGCGTCTGTTCTTCCTTTCAGATTCAGGTAATGAACTTTGGGTGTAGTTTGGCTAATATCTGTCCTTCATCTTATAGGTATGCATGGACCATCGCCCAGTGTAAGATATGTGCAAGTCACATCGGATGGAAATTCACAGCCACCAAAAAAGACATGTCACCTCAAAAATTTTGGGGTCTGACTCGATCTGCTCTTTTGCCCACAATTCCAGACACTGATGATGAACTGAGCCCAGACAAAGTGATACTTTGCTTGTAAACAGAAGTGGTATGGATAGGAATCTAACAAATTGGTATTCTCATATCTGCTTTGGAAATTAATGCCTAAAATGTATCACTTAACAGCAACATTACATGGCGGCCTGCTGACTTACCCACGTTGAGGAGGAGAGGAGACCACAGCTTATTTTCTGGAGTGTTATCCCACAGGTCTGCTCTGGTTCTGTGTCAGTGACAGGACCTGGAGGTATACATACCAAATTACTCCTATTCTGGCAGCGGCGTTCAACAGCGGGGAAGCAGTGCACGTTTCTTTTTGAAAGATGCAGGTCTGTGTATATTGTTACTTTCAGAGGAGTTTGTTGCTTTCAATTTTCTGTAGCTTCTGAGAGATACTGATTTGTAAATTTTGAAAATATTAAAACATGCACTTTTAGCCTGAAAAAGACTTATGTAAGAATCTCTTTTTCCACAGATCCCAACCCTGTGTGCAAACTACAGGTGATACTGAATTTTGTCTATTTTATTTCATGGACAGGTTTTGATTCAAACAGTGGACGTGTAGGACATAAAATGGTAAATATTGCCCATCATTACTGACTCTTACACATGTGCTCAATGCAATAGTGTCTAAATTACAACATTTGGGAAATTCCAAGTGACCCACATTTAGCACATACAATAAAGGGCAAAATTGACCACCATCAAAAGTGGCTCTATTTACATAAGTTAAATGCAGATTTTACCCCAAATCGTAATTGCCTATATTTACCACATACATTAAACACAATTTTTGGCAAAAGTACAATTTTAAGTGGCCCTACTTACCACATAAAGGCAACACAGTACTTGGCAGAATTCCAACTGGCCCCATTTACCACATAAACTGAATGCAAAATTGCCCAATGTTCCCATGTAAATATAAGGTGAAACTTCATATAGAATGAATTCAAAAAACTGCCCCAAATTGCACTTGGCCCCACTTACCACACAAATCCCCCTATTTAATACAGAAAGTAATTACAGAACTTGGAAAACGTCCATGTGGCGTTGCCCAGATTTACCACAGAGCAAATTGCCCCAAATTGTAAGTGGCCCTATTAGCCACATAAACTAAATTTAAAACGAGAAACTTACCAGTGTCCCCCCTTTCTACCATATTTATGGAAAAATCAGCAGACTCTGAGTTGTCCTTATTTACCATATCAATTAAATGGAAAACTTAGGAATTAAATGCCGAATTTAAAGTATACCTTATTTACCACAATGAAAATTTAGAAAAACTTCCACATATCCAATATTAACTACATACGTAAATTGAAAACAGTAGCAAAACTTGAAAGTACCCCTTATTTGCCATTGAAAAATTAGCAACAGTAGCACAGGTTTGTCGAGCATCTACATAAATGAAAAACTTAGCCAGTATAATTTTCTTCCCAACTAAATTAGCAAATACTGCTTACTTACCAAACAATTGGCAAAATTTTAAAGCATTCCTTATATACCAAATTAACTGGTAAAATAGCAAAAATCACATGTGTGTCTTAATTTACTAAATATATTCAAGTAAAATTTAAGCAGCAAAAAGTAAGTGAAATTACAATTTTATTTAATACCTTCAATTCTTACTAATTCTTCCTTGTGGCATCTAACACTGGCAATGACATCCCCATATGTAATAACAGGTTTTACACACAACAGTCCCCACCCTGCAACACAGCCTGGGCACACGTGGAGTGTGGGAATTCTATGATGTCTGTTAGGACAAATGACACAGGAGTGATGGAGGTGGGAGATGGGAAGCACACCTCACATCAGCAGGCTTTTCTTTACTCGGTGCTCAGCAGTAGAGCCAACCAGTGGAACCCTGGCACAACTGATGTTCAAGGCCGAACATGGCAGTGGGCTGAAGCATGCCCCCAAATCATTAAGGTGGGACAGGGAATTTCCTGGGGCTTAACTCTGTTCAGGTGACCCAGAATTGGGGTGGGGGGCTCAGTGCAGTTCCTTTTGTGTTCCTTTCCTCTGGCTGAGGCCTGGGATTTTACATGTCAAAAACTTAGGGGAACTGTCCTTGGCTTATTTTCCATATCCTCCATTCCAGACTCTGAAAGGGGTCTAATGAATTGGGATGAACATCAAATCTGGCTGCTTCATGCTGAGAATGGGTTAAGTATGGGACGTCCCCCCTTCATGTTCTCTGGAAGAGAACATGAAGACCCTGGAGATTGAGGCTGAAGAGGGATAATATGTGGGAGGAGCTTCAAAATTGGCATGAGTGAAGTCCTCCTTTTTCAAAAAATCAGGCAGTGGTCACAGAGGGAGATGGGTCCTGGGAGATGGCTGGGTTTTGACAGGTCTCCCTAAGAAACCCTTTCTTTGAATTAGACTTTCCTGATGTTTTGATTCTATCCTGCTTGATTGATAGACTAAACAAAACAAGAACAGAGATAAGTTTAACCATATGACCATAGCTAGTAAGCAAGCTACACTTACAGGAAAGTATTTAAAAGGTTTAAGCAAAGAGATTGCTTTAGCCAAATTGCCCTCATGGTTAAAAGCTGGTCCTTTTGCATTGACTGTAGCCCAAACCTGAGATTGTAATTCCAATACATCCAAAGAAACATTATGAAAATGATTTAAGTCCCATTAGGTGATTACTTACATTTTGCCATTGAATCTCAATGTCATTATATGGAACTCTAGTGACATACAACTGGTAATGTTCATGACATTGATGTCTCTGAGCCCATAGGAAATCTTATTCTCCTAGTCATATCACAGAATCTTTTAGTTGTTGAATTTCACTTAAAATTTCCTGATCAATATGTACTTGAGTTTGCCAGGTCTCAGTAAAATTCCTTTGAAATTGCTAAATGTGGATACAGAAGCAATTATTCCAGCTAAGATAACAATGCCAGCCATCAACCATCAGATACAACACTGAGCACCTGACAGGGAGCCAGGTGGCTGCTGGCCTTTGAGACTCTTGAGTTTGTCCTGAACTTTGCCATATAGTTTGACTTACCTTTGTAGCATACAGTTCTGCATTTAACATAATACATATTTTGTGAGGCATTATAACCTACTTGAGTAGGTTCACACAGCAAAACATTGGAATTTAATACATATGCTGTGAGAAATCCTTATCAAGATGAGTGACACTTTAAAAGTTATTAGATTGATCACCATTCCAGATTGGAAAAGGCTCCTGAGTCAATCTATTTTCTGTATTCCAGGAGTCCTAGAGCCGTCTAACCTCATCTCTTAACACTCCCAATTGCTTACTTACAACCGCACACCTCCCTGCCACCCACCATCCCTATAACTTGGAGCCCCTAAGAGAATACTATCTGAGGTGATAGGCAGTGGGACTTGGGTCCTCTAGTTCTAGCAGCTCAATGTAGGGACTTTAAAAACTGTCCGCCCTGGGGACAGTCTACACACACTGGGAACAGGGCCCACAAGATGCATTAGGAAGTCTGGTGGGGCCAGCAGTGGCTTCTGGGGGCCTATGGGTGGCTGAGGCTGGGAGCTGCTTTTCTGTCTATCTACAAATTGCTTCTGGGAAGCCCCGGTGCCCTTCGCTAATTCAGTCTTTGTGGGTGTCAGGGGCAGACCCACTGAGGAACTGGACTGGGAGAGAGAATCCCTGGCAGGAGTATTATTTGGCAATGGAGGAAAGGGGACAGAAAGCTTAGAGGTAGAAAACCTCAGACAATCTTGACAATCTGTAATAGATCATTTTTGAACTTTGGAGAGTTACTGATCAAAGGTTTCATCTTGGGCCACCAGTGCAGATTATCTAATTTGTATTGTGGCCAATTTTGAGTGCTGAGCCTAATGAGGCATTTAATCTCGAGGTCAGAATGGGAATAGAGAGTCTCAGAATTGGTAGACAGCCCAGGGGTGTCTCCACGAACTGACTGGGTAGTCCCCATATTTTAGGAGGCTCAACAGAGGGCAAAGCACCCTCTGTACTCCGCATGCCGCCCGTGTGCCCGGCTGGACTTTTCCCACTGGGGGCTGGGGAAACATCCTTTCTCCTAATCTCAGGGGTGGGGGTCCCTGGTTAGCCAAAAGGTGGTGGCATCTACGTGGTAGACACTGGACGAATGGGGTCTTGGATGTAAAAACAAATGGCAAGGCTGTCCCTGATCTGGAGGTTTGCTGGGTGTGCCAGGGAAGGGCAGCTGGCGAGGGGGTAGAAGTAGGCCTCCTTTAACATTAACACAGGCTTTGGTACAAATCCCTTTACTGGCTATTGGCATCAGATCTGCTATCTAGAGACTCCCAGCCTTCGATTCTGAACATGGCTGCTAAAAGGCTGACCCAGCCCAGCTCATGTCGCAACCCCTGAACGTGCAACCCCTGAACATGCTCGTGGAACTCCTCTCATGGGCCATAAAGCTGCTCTGAGTGCCGACAGGCAGGTCGGCCTTGTCGGTTTGCTTCATGCTACTGACAAGTGACTCTCGTGTGGGATTCCAGTGTGTGGAGTGGTCCTTGGGCTTTGCGAGTGTCCTTTCACTGTCCATGTGGAATAAAGCTGCAAAAGTTTAGCAGGTGGTTGGTACCCCAGGGCTGTTAGACCTTAGACTCATAGCCTTCGGGTAGCTGGTTGCTCGCAGCAGAGGTGTGGAGGGCCTATGCTCTACAGGGTGGAGAAACGCCTGCGTCCTGGTGTAACTACAGGGAAGGGTTGGGGAGGGTTCATCCCACCTTGCTCCAGCTCCTGGGCAGGGAACCCAGTGTTTGGGACACATGGCATACATGAGGACGGCAGAAGCAACCCTCGGGTCAGCAGGCTTCTCTTTAATCAGGGTTTAGCAGAGGAGCCAACTGCCAAGCACTGGGCTGGGATCATCTTCAGGGCAGAAGATGGCAGAGGCTGAAGCAAGGGTCTGGGTTATAAGGCTTCATTTAGGGTAACTGCTCCACTCCATTAAGGTGGGACAGGAAAGTGCCTGGGGCTTATCAGGGCATAGAGGTCAGGTGACCCATGGTGGGGGTTCCTTTTGTGTTCCTTTGCTCTGGCTGAGGCCTGGGATTTTAAATGACAACAGCTTAGGGAAAATGTCCTTGGACTCCTTTTCCACATCCTTCAGTCTACAGATATCTTCATAATACCGTCAGTACTCACCCACTAGTGCTAGCGCCACTTCTTCTCAGCAGTGTGCTCTGCAAAACCTCTTTTAGCAACGTCCAAAAATTGCTACTTGCTCATAGGCTACAAAGATGCTATGGCTGGACAGAAAGGAAAAAGCAGCTGAAACAGACACAGTCTCTCTGCACCTGGCGAGAACAGACTCCAAATAGGAAAAGGAAGGGTGTCACCAAGTGTGTATGCCACCGCACACCAAAACCAAAGGGACTGTTTTATTAAAATATCAGGCTCAAGGATGCATAGGGTTAGGACACCACCACCTTCATGATCACCTCCACA